CATGACCAGCTAAGGCTAATTTACCATTTATCGAATGACTGAAGCATAAAGGGGAGATGCCCCCGAGGTACAATCGGTGACTGCTACTGGAACTGTGACAGTGCAACATCATCACCAACATCATGTGAAGCAAACACAGCAATAATTTTGTCACAATATGCCATGAAGTCCAAATACAATCAAACATAAACAAAATTGGTTTTCTAAAGTATGAAAAAAATGTTATTTTTGATATCCACTTAACACCCTTCTTCACCCAATCTGGAGTCATTAAAAGGAGATGCAGAGAGGAGAAGGTCAGAGCCTATCCCAGCTGTCACAGCACAAGATGTGAGGTCTGTCTGCTCAGTCATCACAAGGCTAACACAGAGAGGCGGACTCATTGCCACACCTACAGCCACTTTAGACTCACCGACTAAACTAGCATGCATGTCTTTGGGCTGTGGGAGGAAGACTCAAGCTCCACACAGCAAAGTCCCCAGAGAGCCAGCAGGTTTAAATCAAGAACATTTATACTGGGAATCTCATTTTTTCCACCTAAAAAGATTACCAAGGTAACTTGTGCTGAACACAGAGGTTCGGTTTAAAATCTACAGGAAGTGCCACATTGTCACAGAATCACATGTTCTAAAAGTGATCTAGATCTCAGCTGACAGGAAAAATTGCATATTCATAACGTGTTTAAATGAGGCTTTCTGAGCTCTAATGCATGAAACACCATCGCTTAAGCAATAAAACCAAAACAACATTTTCCTGGGAACATTAAGACAATCGCTCCCACGTTTTCCATGTTAAATTAGAACTGTGTCTGTGATTATATGTTGAATCCAACCTCTTCTTCTGCTCAAATTTCTGAGTTATCCTTAAAAAACAATCACACTAAAGGGGTAAAGCAAATACATGACAGAAGGGTCAAACAATGTGTCAAAACCCCTTAAGTGCGCTCACATTCTGAAGCAGAAACAAAGAAATCACATCACATCCTGAATTAACTACAGACGTCGTGTTACCAACTATGTCTCCAATAAAAAAATCGTAAGACCACTACTTCTGTGTCAAGCTGACCTTGCTGAATGAAAAGCTCCATACTGCCTTATTCTGTCTCCATGTTATCTTTCAGATACATCACACATTTCTAAGAGTTATCTTTTGTACACGACGTTCTGAATGTATTCTGTGACCATGGCAGACAGATAGCTTGTGTCTACAAATATTCTACGGCTACAATCCCTCTTTGTCAGAAACATGCAGACTGCTGTCATGCTGTCTGTACTTTTGTCTGACCCCTTTGCAAAGGTAAACAAAACTCACACAGACAACCAGAATGTGTGCACCTCAATTTATTTCAGATTTCCACAAGTCTTGATTAGGGTCTAAGGCTCTGTAAGGCCAGTAAATGCAAAGAAAGCATGGCTGTAGTAAACTATGTACATACATAATACAGTCTACAACCTTAGCATTTACCAAAAGTACCACTTGTAAGTTGTGTTCACATAGACACCTCAAACAGACATTTCATAGCATGCTGCTGCCACATTTTTGCTTTGATATTTCATTCCCCATGGTGAATATCTTAAAGGTTCAGTAAGTTTTCTTTGGTTTTTTTATACATTGATTCGTGCATTATTACATCTTCCAGCAAACTGATGCCTTTTAATAAACTTAGAAAGAATCCATAAAGCTAACGTGCTGCCCCAACATCTCACATACAGTGGGCAGGATGGACACCGCCGTTCCATTTAATCACATTTTATGTATGTAGCTATACACCGGCCACAATCATAGTATGACTCAGAAGTTATTTGTGATCTTTAAATGAAAAGTATCCATTTCAAGCTATACATGACCATTTAACATCTATCTGTGCATATTTTCATCATCTCTTTCTCATCATGTCTCTCTCATTCATCTCTACCACAGCCTCTTCCTCCTCACCTCAAGCCCTGAACGGAAGTCGGGCTGAAACACATAAAACCGTGCTTATGTATTCCCAATATTACTGCAGTTCTTTTTTTTTCTTTTTCTTTTTTTATTGTCAGCAGATTAGACGTGCGACCCTCCTGTCTCCAGACAGCTGACAACAAGCCAGCTAAACAACAACAGCTGGTTATGAGCTAACATCATCCCAGCTAAACTAGGAAAGCAGTTAATTGGTCACAAATAAAATCTGCAGCCTGACAAAGCACCCAAACACACAGCCAGGCTCCTACAAAAAGAAAAACGGGGCCATATAACAAGTGAATATGTGCAACGGGACAGTGACAGGTTCTCCCAAGTACTTGAAACACTCTGTGTATCCCTCCACACAGGGACACTGTGTTTCATACCAGAGGTCTTGTGTCTGAATCGTCATTCAGTCTACGAATCCTCCTCGCAGCTCCTATTCAGTTTCTGGATTATTGGAAATTATGGTATAATTCAGTGGTTAATATCAGCAGGTTAGATGTTTGATACTGAAAAGAAATGTTGCATGTTTTTTTTTTTAACAAGAAGCTTTTTTTTTTTTAAACAATGGAAAAGACAACAGTTGCTTTTTCCCCCTCTTGCCTCATCGAGTGCTGATATTTTATTCATTGCAGAGTGAGAGACATTCACAAGCAGGAACTTTACAAAGGGGGAGGTGGTCCTCTGGTACCCAATTAAAGCAGCTAAAACACCCAAGCAAGCTTTTGATTCGCGTCATACTGTTAATGCTGTGCGACCTACCTTTATCTATGTCGAACTTTGCCTTTTCCCTTCCATCCTCTATAATTCTTCCAGGAAGAGTTAGCCTGAAAATCAAATATTACGTCCCTTTTAAGTTCAACATTGCGATTAAAAAAAACAAACAAACACTCTGAATATTAATTTAGGCGCGGTGTAGGTGGTGCCATTTGAAACAATTAACTGTACATTGCTTAACTCACCTCAGAAAGTAGGGCTTTGCAAAAAACTTTAAATCTGTTCCATCAATGTAAAGGTCAAAGTCTGACGTTCTGGTGTAGGGCACACGGATGCTGAGGATCAGGTGGTCAGGCTCTTGGCTCAGGTCAAACGCAGGCGTTATCATCTTGAATGATGATGTAATACTGCTCTGCAGCATAAATTACAGAAATGACATAAGCGTCAATTTCACTGTATAGGAATGCATGCCCGACCGTGTTAACACGGGGCAGCTGATTATAGCATGCCACCTGGTGGATAACTTTATTAAATGTTGCTGACCACGTGACCAGACCACGTACGTCCCACTGACGGTGAAAACTGTCAACACAGGTCACGTCAAACATAACGGGCAGCTTCTTGTATCTTTAGTAACTTACAAAAGGGGTCTTTATGGTGGCTTAATGCTAGCTTTTAAGTCCTCCTTCATGTTTTCGGTCGCCTAGACGCAGTATCACACCAAACTACGTTAAAGAAATCTGGACATTTAAACTGGTACTGCTTTTTGGCAAACACGTGAGATCTCTAAATTTTGCCTTATCATGTTCTTGAAGCTGGAATGAAAAACTTGTCGCCGGTGTGACAGCTGAAATTAATTTCTTAATCATCTGTAAGCAATTCATTAACGTGACATTACCGCAGTCTAAGAGCGAAATTATGAATTGGGTATGTACATACACAGTGTATAAACAATAAACATTTTTTTATTCAAAAACTTGTTGTTTATTAGCTTTCTAACTGCCCGAATTTAACCTCACACCATAACAATTACGCGACATTAAGTGGTAGTCAAAGAGGCAAGTGCGGTGTTGATAATCTTTATGCCAAACAATTTTGACAAATTTTTAAACGAAGTTCCGCTCGTGGTTAGCATGCTACTAGCCTGTATAGCAAGCTAACACATGTCTGTGGCTGCTGTAGCACGCAGCAGTACTAGCCGCTACAACACGACTTTTAATCTGCTGTATTTATTGAAAATTGACTTGCGAATACGTTCAAGTAAATCGCTGATACAACGCATGTTGAAAAAAAGTTAACACGCAGCCACACTCACCCCAAATACTGTGACTTATCCCAAAAAGCAGTGCTGGCAGCTCTTTGATGTGGCGTCCATCTTTTACCGTAATACAGAGTTGAAAACGGCAGTTAAAAAGTGCTGATTTTAAAAAATCATTACTGTCAACAGTTGAAATGAAAAATCTAAGGTTTTGTCAGAAGATGACATAATCAATTTATTTAAAATAATTTATAACTTATAAATTAGTAGATATATGCTGAAATTGGGGACAATGAGGACATTTAGCCACTCTTGATACTTTAATTAATATTATTATTTCAAATATTAAAATTAATAATAATAATAATAATAATAATAATAATAATAATAATAATAATAAGCAGTTACATTATTATTATTATTATTAAGTGACGCACATGTTTATCTATTTTTCATTCCCTTAATTTTGGACATGATGAAAGCCTCCACTGTAGGTGGTGTGACACAAAGAGAAACACTCCCTGACAAGGGAGTGTTTCTCTGCAAACTTGTAAGTATTCTAGCAGTTCATTTTTGTTTGTCCTCTTCTATCCCCAGTCATCTGAAGCACTTTTAGCTAAGCGTGGTTTTAAATACAGGATCTGTGAAACCCAAAGTCAGAGCTGATTTAACTTTCATTAATGGTTTTACATTAAATGTCTATGTAAAATAAATACATAAATAACGAACACAAAGACAAGGATTCTGCCCATCATACACAAGAAAGAGAGCAGCACGAATCTTTAAATTGAATATTTAACCCTCAGTTCTAGTGTAGCACCGCGAGTTAAATTCGCCGAAAATTTGCATCCCCTGAATGAAATTACTCCCATGGCCAAATCAGCATCTAGTCTGACACCATCGTTAATCTATTGCATTCATTAAGATTTAAGCATAAGCATTAGCATTGCCTTAGGAAGGTAAGCTGTGGCGTAATAAAACAGACAGACATTTCAGATACTTTAGGTCTGGTCGAAATATCGTGTGGCGCTATTACTTCAATCATTACGGCAAGGCTGGGGAAGCCACGCCTCCGCCGTATAATCCTCTATGGACGATGAGAAGCAGCACTCCGCTCTCCATCATCATCTGCGGAAAAATGCGAGCGGGGAGCGGTAAGAAAATGTCAGCTCGCGCTGCCCTCCCTCCGCCGCAGACATGAGCGCAGTCCCGACCGCCTCTTCCAACCGCAACAAGTTGCTCTCACCATGCGGATCCACTGCAAAGTAGTTGTGATCGCCGTGTGTTTCGGAGTTTTCTTACTTTTGTACTTTTTGGGGGGCAACGCCGCGGATGATCCGCTGTTGAAAGAAGTTGGAGAGGAGCCGGAGGAGGACAGCAGCTCTTCCCAGTCGCCCTCCCAGCTCGAGCACAACGTTGTTGCAAAGTTTCCGAGGAAATCGCCCGCAGGAGTCGGCGTGCGTCCGGAAGAGCCTCTTAAGGGACGAAAACAGGGGAGACCAATTAGTAGAGGGGCCAGCGTGAATGCAAAGAGGTGAGGAGTGAGGGGGGTGGGGGGTGTTTCCGTTTAAGAGCCGATTTCCTCAAGGCTCTCCCTAAATGAACGTCTCCGCTTTCTCATCCCCATCTTTCCTAGCCTCTGGGAAGTTTCAAAGTGAGGGTGTCGGGTTATAATCGTGCTTTGAGTGAGCCTTATCCTCATCTATCAAACTGCCTACGTTGTGCTCAAGGACGCAGGCTTCACAAAAGCCAGATCTTTTAAGGGACACCCCATCATGCATCTGCTGGGCTGCTTTTCGCTGTTGCAGACATGAGTTTCTCAAGTATGTGGCTGAAATATGGCCAGAGAGCTTGACTGATGTGGTTAGGTGGAAGTGTTGTCAGTATTTGCAAAGAGGAGATCAAACACAAAGCACAACAGGATGATGAATTGTCACGTGAGCTCAACATCTCGATCATTTGTGCCTTATTATGTGTGAAAGCAGGGCATGGTCTCAGTCCTCTGTTGGTGTTAAAGGGGGTAAAAGGTCACCTTGAAAGACACAAAGTGCACTTCATAAAGGCTGCTACTGTGTACGGAGCAGCCCGGGCTCCCATTTGGTTTCACTTGAACATGAGTCAGACATTATGGGAAGTAGTCTGCTAGAACTATTTACAGAAAAGCTTATCGGGTGTGCTTTTTATTTTTGTTCGTTACAAAGAAGCTGCCACAAAGACAGATGACCTGAATAAATCAGCACCGTGGCAGTATCTCAGATATCGGCAGCTGCTATTCGTGTTTAAGATTGAGGGCATTTTGTCTTCCAGCTTTCTAATTTCAGCCTTGCATTTCCTCCTGTCTTGCATGCCAGCTGTGCCATAATGGCCACTATGTGGCCGTGGAGATTACCCACGCTGGCAGGCTGCTGTAATATGTATTCCACTCCATAGCCGTACTCAAGGTTGGGGACACTGTTCGGCAGATAAAAGCCATCAAGGCGTTACGCCGTGAAAGGACCTTTGCGTCTTTGCAGAAACCACGCTCCTCCATGTGTGCTGCACGCTGATAAGGAAGATGGGGTGGAAGGGGTCACCGGTGGCCATTAAACAAACACGAACAGGTTGGAAAATGCTCAAGACTGACTGCTGCGATTAGGGGAAGAGCACTGAGCATCTTTGCCAGAACCTCTAAAAAAACAACTTTGTTTTGTCTCATTGCTCAAGCTGAGAGTATCAGACCAGAGGACTGGGAACAATTGGGAGTAGTTTTCAGGTCTGCAGACACACTTTGCAGACTGTAAAGCTCTGATAGTGAATCATAACGACACAAACGGAGAGTTAAGTTAACACTCTCTTTTATTACAACTGTCTGTTCAATCCATGCTTCATAACTTGTATCTCTCCCTTTGTTTGCGAGTCTGAACCGCTGAACAGATTTCCTGTGCAGCTTTCTTATTAGACAAACATGCCTTTTTTTTTCCTAATCATATAATTTCCTCTTGACACATCACACCGTTTCCTGTGGCCAAAAATAGCGAAGAACGTCCTCTATGTCGCCCCAACCCACACGTACTGGAGGCTATAATGCGTTGTTGTCTTTATCACTTCAAACGCCCAACGCTTGCGAGGTCCACACACCCAAAATGTGAAGTGTTTTTCTTTTTTTTTTACAATTTTTAAACAGAGCGTGATTGGTTAATGTGCCCCCCACCCTCAGCTTAATTAAAAGCAGAATTGGGGTTTAGTTCCAGGCTCTGTGACTTACGATCCTTACCTGTAACTTTCCCGTTCCGTCACTCTGACGTCTTCATTACCATCAGCGTGTGTTCCAGATGCTTTGTTGCACTGCGTTAAAGCGTGAATCTGCAGGGTGAGACTGGTGTTGATACTCTGTGTCGAAACAAATCCCCTGCCCTGTCACTTCAGATATAGCTAAGCAGCATTCTTCCCAGTAAAGAAGTCACTGCCTTGCGGTGGCATTATGCATAGCTATAAAAATGTCATCTTGCATGACTGAGCACTCACTCAGCTCGGAGTGGTTTTTGAAATCTCCCTGCTTGCCTGTGCAGCCGACGTGGCTGGAGAGGGTGCTTGTGTGAGCCTCATCGGAGGGAGTTTTGCCTCTCTTTTAGTTTGGCTAACTCACTTTTAAATTGCCAGTAAATGAGTCATTCTGAGGCAGAAAGATAGCGTGGGGCTGGGTAAAATCCCTCATCTGTAAAGAGCTGGGTTTGAAAGTCATAGCTTTGAACTTGACAACAACAACAAAAATAAAGATAATAAATGATTAATAATAGAAGCATTTACTGAGCACTAAGCTGATTCATTGATCAGCCAAGCTGCAAAAACTTTGATCTACTGGGATGAGTAGGACTCTGATGCCAGATGTTTGCTTTGTATTCGTTTCTGGCAGTTTGACATTATAGGGAAAAAAATCTTTTATACCTTTACACAACTCAATAAAGCTATTTGAAGATGTCACTTTGGGCTCAGGGAGGTGGTGATTGGTGTATTCAACTCATTTTTGGAAGTTTTCGTGTGCACATTCCAGCTTTCACAGAAAGTCCTTTATCTTTTAACGTCAACCCCGCATTTGCATTTATTTTCATGACTGACTACGCTGTTAATCGCATTTACACATGCCAAAGTTAGAAAAACGGATATTTGTGGTAGTTTTCACTTTCACTTCATTTCCAAAGTGTCTTTGAGCTGCAGGGGTGTATGATACACAGGCAGTCATGGCATAGGAACTTACCATGCTGGTGTTTGATGGTTGTTATCACTGTAAAAGAGGTGTTTGCGTGGTGCTTTTTTGGTTCTTATATACCACTGGTTTCTCTTACTGGTAAAAGTTAAATAAACATTTCATATATGCTTAAAGATCTGGGATGTTCTGATATGAGATGGAGATACCTGGTGTAAAGATCTCACCAAACACTCATTTGCTAAACTCTCTACTAACATCCATCAGCCGTATCACTCTGCTGAAGGAAGCAGCAGCATACCCATGACATATCTATCACTACCACCTCATCTCCTGAAGCTATAGGCCAGGGACAAGATGTGTATTTCCAACGTTTAGTGCAGTGTGGAAAATCTCACCATTAGACGTCCATAGATTACAGAGTGTAGTCGTAGCTACAGTAGGATCACCATTACTCTTTAGTGAGCCCTTTTAGTCTGGAGGAGGTAAAAGGAGTCGAGGAGTCAGCGAAGCTCGCTTCTGTGCACTGACAGATATACTGATGTTGAGGATATACTCAACGTTTTCTGTCAGTAAGCGCTGGTGTTTTTGTCAGTGTTAGCTGCTGTTTGCTGGTGTTAGTGGGTCTAACATTGCTGGACTTGGAAACTTCAAGAACTCACACAGTATGAGAATGTAATCAAACAGTTGTAATCAAGCTGTTTTTGTTATTTAGTCGACTTAACGTCAGCTGCTCGGAGATGGAACGGTCACATGTCCAATCTGCTGACAATAACTGTCGTTTTCGTGTGTTAGAGCCCCGACTTCAGTTCAGGAGATGAGGCTTGAGGTGAGGAGGAAGAGCGTGACGTTTTATCCAGATGCCAGCCATGTTGTTTCTGTCCTTTGCATTTTGATTTTCAGATGATAAACCATTGGTATGATCCTTCGTATTCTGAGTCTGAAGGTGCAGGCTTGCATTAAAACTTGCCTCCATGCACACAAACGCCTACAAGTTCTGCTCTCTTCCGCCTTTGGTGTTCTACGCATTTGACCTGCATGTAGGCGCGTATATAAAACATGATTAGGCAGAATGGCAGTGTACTTTTAGTACCAGTCCAAAGCAGAGATAAATGGAGAGGGTTGTGTCATGGAGTGCATTTGGCATAAAATCTTAGCTATATCAAACATGTGGTTCATAAAATATGAAGAAGAAGATTCAGTATGGCATGAAATAAGCAACTTACTGTTTACAGACATCAATCCGAGGACCCCAAGTCCTTTTTCAACCACCTTTTGCAACCATCTTGCCATTTTGGTTATTAGACATTTGTGAGGTGGCTTCAGTTTTCAGACCCAGAAGCCTTTTCCTTCTTTTTAACCGTCTATGTGTGGGAATCACATCACAGTCCCAATGTCCCCACTTTTTTTAAAATCTATTAGAAATGTCCATATTTAGTACCAGTGCATCCTACTGGTGTATAATACTTTGATTTGCATTTGCAATTTAACTTTAGAGAACTTGGTCAAGGTTTGTGGTGGACACAGAAAAGAGGTTATGATGATGGCAGCAGTGCGTGCGTGCCGCTCTCTGTTCGGGTTTTTTTGCATCGGCCTCTCTGATGAATCTCTTACTGGGTTTTAGAGTTTGTGAAAGTGAATATCTCCGGCCTGAGTCAGCGCGTTTTGGTCGTTTAAGAACTGCGCTGACACGTTGCATGTTTATTTTAGCACGTTCGGCTCAGCATGCTGATGAATGCAAATGTTCTGAGAGGGCAGCTGAAATGAACACATAAAACCAGATTCTTGTGGCAGCTGCGTCAGTGATTGTTCATTCTGAGGTTTTCTTCTGTTTTCTCTTGTGCCCCAGCTGAATAACATTCAAGCAAAGAATCCAGCGGATCAGCCCCGAGAAGTAGCTCTGGCACTCTCTGTCGTATAGTCTCAACTTTAATCAGCTGAATTCTGTTTAACCACTTTGAGACGGGCTTCTTCAAACCAATGCGAACACATCGGTCAGAAGTCCACCAAACAGAGTTACATTCGGATTAATTAAATGTCTTCAAGGTGTTCTCTGGGACATCGCTTGTACATTTTTCTTTTATCTCTAGAGGCGCTGCCTTTTTCCTCTCCTTGCGTGCTTTCAAAGGGTCGGTGGTGGTGCCTTTGTAGGCGAAGGGTTCCTCTTGTGCCTGCTATGCAGCCGATAAGGAATTCAAGTCCTTTTGTACCTCGTCTGTGCTTTTTGACTGCTTCCAGATGTGAGGAGCGGTGCCATGACACAAACCATTATGTGAGCAGCCCATGCTTAATGTGGCAAACACATTATTAATGTATTTTTTATGTGGGTTTTTTTTTGTCTTGTCATTCAGGTTTATGCAAAAAAGCCTTTATTTATTTTGCATGACTAAGTGCAACGCGATTGCATCCTTGCAGGGGATAGGGACTGCATTTTTCTGTGGGGAAATGGGTTGTGTGTTCAACAACTTTGACAGAACATCAGCCCCTGAAGCGTGGCGGACAGATTTCTCAGCACCTTCTCGTTCATCCTAATCTGCAGTTCATCATTGTCCCGCACCCATGCAGAAAACGAAGTGTCACGCTTGAGGACTGCCCCGCAACCCACCTGTCGAGTTTCACTCTTCTCCCTTCCTATCCATTTTATGCTAGGCTCCCGCTTGTTTCAGACGCAGAGGAAATGCATGTCTTCTACAACTGTCTTCTCCATTTTGCCTTCCCCAGCTCTCCTCCTCAAAGAAAAAAACAAGCAAAAAAAGCTATATGTTGAAACAAAAGGTTCTTTGTTCTTTTATTCGTGCCAGACTTTTTCCTCTTTGGCTATGTCAACATTCATGTTGAAGGTATTGTTATCACAAGCGGCCCCATGTAGTGCTTACACAGAAGAAAAATAGATGATGTTGACCTTAACTTTAGGCTGCCCCATTACATAAATGTTTCCCTATCATAGAGCAGGCTAGGCCGCGCTGCTCTGCAGAGAGAGCGCTTAAACCCGATAAAGAACCCCCTTCCCTTTGAACATGGAAGAGCAAAGTCCAGTCGCAGAGGTAGTCGTGTGTGAAGGTGTTTGTTAAATGATATACTGAGGCGCACATGTAACATGACTGAGAAAAATAGTTGACCTTTCATTTCAATAGGAGGATGGCTGCTTGTTATTTTTTTTAAATTCTTCACTTCCTCCTGTTGTCATCCATATAAATCCCAAATGATGTTTTTGTTGTTGAAGTAAGAAGCCGGTACTATTAATACTGACATCCATACAAGTGGCAAAAAGAGCTTAAGGCTGAATGCATTTGTTTTTTAACAGATATAATTATTCCCAGTATCACCCAGACGATTTGCACCGACTTTAAAAAGATAACAGCAGGAATAGAAACAAAACACGCTGTAATGAAGGGAAAGTGGAATCACAACCTTTTACTCAATACGCTTGCATCATTCACCTGAATCTAACCTTGCTTAAACGTTATATGGTGTGATGTTATTGCTTCTTCTATTCTTTTTTAAAGCTTTGATTATTGATTCAGTTCAGTTTGTGGGTATTAATTTATGCACAGCTCTCTTAAAGTCTAGGTCTGTCAGGTTGAGCTCTGGACTTTAACTGGGACATTGCAACACTTTGATTCTTTTCTTTTTCAGCCAGTTGTAGATTTGCTGCTGTGCTTGGGGTCACCGGCCTACTGCATGACCCAATTTCAGTCAAGCTTTAGCTGTCAGATAGTTGGCCTCACATTTGCCTCGATTTGTTCAGTCTTTTGATAAATGTGCTAACATGTTAACCAAGGCCTTTAGTGTCTGAATTTGGGGGTTTTTTTGTTGGGTTTTTTGTATTTTCTCTGAGCCTGGGATGAATTTGCTGAAGTGTGGACTCCTGGAAAGGTTGTGCCATTGTTTTAACACACATCTGAATGTTTGCTCCCAGCAAACTGTCAAAACTTGTGCTTTTATAGAGGCACTCACTGCGCTATGTATTTGATTAGCAACACCTGCTAATCAAATGTAAACAACTCCTATGTAAGCAGTGAGGGTATACTTAGTTTTCTTTATAACAGGACTACACAGTACATCTTTTGAAAACGCTGTTTTTCACTTGACTGTGGGTCTCTCAAGTTTTTTTTTTTTGGTGTGGTTTGTGTGCAGCTAGCTTGGTAGCCATTGAGTGTGGTAGAAAACAAACGGTAATATCTTCAGTAAAAACCTTTAGCTGAATAAATAAATGACAGAATGAATCTAAAAATCTCAAATTGGGTTGATGCAGTGTTTTGTTGTTGTTGTTTTTTTTTATTTGTTTTAAAGTCGGGTTTTGCAAATCTTCTTTGTGAAATATTAGAAAACCACTCTGTTGTTAACAGACCCTATTGTGCCCTGAATATTTAGACATTTTAAAAAATGCTTTTTTCTATAACATAAAGGATATTTTTAAATACCCAGTGTGGCTAAATCAAACTGCTGAAGCAGCCTTCATGCTAAACACTGGAGCTAAGTGGAGGTGACGCTAAAGCTCGAGGTTAGCATTTTATTTCTGGCATTTGCATACTTTCATTGAAAATTTAACATTTTTACTTTAATTTATACAGCACCAAATCACAACAACGTTTGCTTTAAGGCATAAATGTGAATATTATCTTGCTCAACAAAAACCTAGCATCAAATTGGTGATGAACTATGTTCCAGCAGTACAATTACGTAAGGTTTATAAGGTTAAAAAAACTTAGACTTATCTTAATAATTATTATCTGTTTATTCACTTATGGGCTTCCCCACCAAGTAAAAAGTGTCGTGCTTAAGTATAATATTATTTTGGGGGTATTTTCATAAATGGTGTTCATGGGGATATATGTGTAGTTATAACCAAAAGCCATCAGTTTATGTTGGCTTACAAGAAATATAAATATAGGTGTCAGCTTTCCAAAGACCATATGGGTTGGAGCTCTTGTGGAAGTCTGAAATTATGGCGTCCGTTTCAGTAATTTCATTTTTCTGTGTATGTTTTGGTTCCACTGTGCTGTGGTCCATCTGTTGAGCACAAATTGCTCTTCACAGGCTCTGCAGCTTGCAGGCCAATTTGCTGGCGATGAGTGAGGGGAACAAGGTTTGTGATTGTCAGCACATACACCCCCACTCCGCCCAAACGTGTGGCCTTGGCCCATTGAAATCTAAAACGGACAGCTAGGTGGAGGAAAAACTCGACATCCGGCACATCTTTTGTTGCAATTACTGCCAGCTTTTGATCTCGATATAGTAATTTCATTATACTGAGGTGTTATTGTTTTTCTTTTATACAAGACTGCCAGTGCTTCATCTTCTACATTTACTCTTTTCTAGTAAACCACGGAGTAATGTAGCCCGACCTGTAACCAGGCGCACCAAGGCGGAGGACGTCATGCATTTGGCCGTGGTGGCTTGTGGGAACCGTCTGAACGAGACCCTCACCATGGTAAAGTCAGCCCTCCTGTTCAGCTTAAAGAAGATCAAGTTTCACATTTTTGCTGAGGACCCCTTGGCCCTGCAGTTTAAAGAAAGGGTAAGAACCCTGTAATGTGTTTTGAGCCAAAAACCTGTATTTTCAATGCACCTTGCTGTCTGCTTTGCTGTTCAGGATCTTACTCAGATTTTTGAGCTACCACAGCACATGTTAAACACTCCTCCTTTCTTTGTAATAGATGACACCGAGATCACAGCAGTTGTAACTCGGAGCCTCTCTTAGACTCACTCTTGTACCCTTTTATCTCAAGGCCGGGGCGTAATATATCACCGAGACACGCTGCGTTATTCCGCCTCCCCCCGCCTCAAAGTCACCTTTACGGAGGTGCGTTGGCGTGACTTTGATTAGTTCCACTGATACTGTAACTAACAGCCTTTTAACATTGCTTCAATTGATGGGCCACAAATATCAGCAGAAGTACCTTTAAACAGCTTTAAATCTTAATCCTAAAAGCCCCGTGAGCCAGCGTTCCTGTGTGCGGTGAATCACTGCCATGTGTTGAAAATTCCCATGAGGGGGGAGGGGGGAGTCGTGGTAGCTGAGGCCTGTAATAATGTGACACATATGCCAGAAAGGAGCCACAGGAAAGGTTAGTCTCACCTCCCTTGATCTCTTATCCTCCTCCTGCTTGTGGCGCTCTCTCTGTCTCTCGCTCTTCCCAGGGCCAAACTGTTGAACTGGTGATTATGGAGAGATTTAACGCCTAACTGGTCGGATAACGCGAGCTTCAGCGAACCTCGCCATGTTTTAAGATGGTGCCTTCCCTTGTTTAGATTATTGCGTTTTAATAAAATAGCAGCTGGTTGCTGCACGCGTACCGAAAAGAGCCAATCAGCAGCCGGAGACGTGACTTCATTGTTTGAAATGGCCACCTGCACAAGCTGATAAGTCTGTGAAAAGAGCAAAAGGGAGATTAGCTTTCAGTCTAATTGTTGTTTATCCTGACTCTTTCTCACGCAGCCTGCCTTACTCAAAGTCAGTTAGACCCTTTTTTTGGCGTAACACACCGCATGTTGCTTTACTTTCAGCTGAACCAGTGGCCTCGCTCTGTCGCAGCCAAGTTCCAGTACAGAATCTACTCCATCTCCTTCTCGGTGGGAAACGCTGACGAGTGGAAGAAGCTCTTCAAGCCCTGCGCTGCTCAGAGACTCTTCCTCCCTGTAAGCCTGCCACACTTATCTCACCTAATATCCCCACCATGCTTAATGTCATTAGCTGGTGTTAAGAAAAAATGTTAATCCATCTCTTTTCTACTTAAACAATCTTATTACCCTCTTCACTGGATGATTACAGCTAGATACTGGCTTGTTTATTGATGATTTCATACCTTCTCAGCAGCAATTATGTAACAAATAAGAATTCCCCAGAGAACAAATCCAGTAATTCCATCAAGTGAGGCTCATGCCGCCTATTGATTTCCTTTTTCTGACACGGTTCATTGCAGTAACAGCCAGCGTTCTTACCATGTAATGAACATGTGGCAGATCAATAGGTGTTTTTTTTTCTCTTGCTGCAAGGCAATCAATAGACATTCACTATTCACTTTATTAGGAACACCTACTGAGCACCTTTCTATTGTCTCTTCAGTAATCTGAATTAAATAGAACATGCCTCTTGATTCAGTGTTATCACATATTTCCATATATGTTACAGTTACAGTTAACATATCATGTACCAGCTACTACATATTGATAATGTGTGGCATAAACCAACGGTCCTCAACCCCTGGGCCATGGACTGGTACTGGTCCATGAGTCGTTTGGTACTGGGCCGCGAGAGTTGAGGCTCAGGTGTGACATTTATGGTTTTCAGGGTTTTTATCAGTTTTTATTGTTATTTTTTTTCGTTTTTATCGTTAACTCGGTTTCCCTGGGTCTTTTCCCGTGTGTTATGAATAAATCTTTTTTTCGGTACCGGTACTGGTTTTATTTTGTTGTATTTATCCGCGACACCTTAAAGGCCAGTCCGTGAAAATATTGTCGGACATAAACTGGTCCGTTGGTGCAAAAAAGGTTGGGGACCGCTGGCATAAATATTGTATTTCCGTCTAAAATTGTACTTCCAGGTCATCTTGAAGGACGTGGACTCTTTACTCTACGTGGACACTGATGTGCTGTTTCTGCGCCCTATGGATGATATCTGGAATCTACTGAAGTCCTTCAACAGGACGCAGCTGGCAGCGATGGCCCCAGAGCACGAGGTACCCAAGATTGGCTGGTACAGCCGGTTTGCCCGCCACCCTTTCTACGGAGTCACGGGCGTCAACTCTGGTGTCATGCTGATGAATCTCACACGGATCCGCAGCACGCTGTTCAAAGTAAGGTCAAAACAGTACTATTTCCCCACACTCTGATCGGTAGAAAGCTAAAGTGGGCTGCAATTTCCTATTTGCATTCTGAAGGGCTGTTTCCTTGAGCTCAAGTGACAGGCAGAGTGCTATGAGTGGGCTGTGATTAAAGCTTTCCAGATTACCATGACAGCATCACAGACTTCTGCCCTCAGAACTCAATTTAACAGCTCTAATACTGGCAGCAGATTGCACATGGAAGCGGGAATGTAAATGTGCTCCGCCTTTGATGATTTTTTTATTTATTTTTTTTAATGCTCCTCTTAAGCTGTTCTTTTTATTAATCCTTGTATTTCAGAACAGTATGATCCCTACTGGCCTGTCTTGGGAGGATCTTCTTCATCCACTCTACCAGAAATACAAGAACCATATCACCTGGGGAGATCAGGACCTCCTCAATATCATCTTCCACTACAACCCAGGTACAAGCTCCTTTTTCAAGTGTGTGTGTGTGTTTGTCTGTATACATAAGAAATGCATTAATTGCACTATGTTACGTTATGTTTAAGGCCTAATCCAAACTGCTTATCCATGCATATGAGTGCACTTTGAAATACCAGTCTGCAGACAGCCCAAACAACAGCTTCTCACCATCAACATGTTTCCAAAAATTGCATCTTATTTTCACTTTTGCTAAAGTCTGCTTCATGAATCTGGCTGTGTAAACACCAAGGCTGCAGGCGAAAGCAGACTGAGATCCAGCTGCAGCCGCCAGATGTAGGCATCAAATGCTCAGAGCCGTCAGCAGAGCTGGCATCATTCGCATTTGCTCAGAGCCAAATGGAGTGTCTTGTTTTTGTATATTAAGCGCTTTGTGTTCTCTGCTGTCTGAGTATATTCATATATTCATGTTGGTCCATCAGCGTTTTTCTGATCTGTGTTTTTCTTGGTGAGGAAACTTTTTCTCCTGGTAGTAGCGTACATACCAATCAAGGACCTCATGTTCTTTAAGCTAATGCACCACTATTGAGGGTTCAGAACAAATAAGTTAATCAATATTTGTGTTTCTTTTTCTATTGATTTTTATCATGCAATTCAATGATCAGCTCCTCTATTACAGCAGAAGCAGGTTTTTTGTTCTTTGTGCTGACATTAAAACGATCTATTTTCCCAACTCTGTTTATTCTATAATCTTCTGGTATGTCTGGATGCATATTTAGTTTTTCCTTCAAGAAACGCATTGATGCAATTACCTGATTAAGAAATAAACCATTTCATCGTTTCCCCCCTCCAGAGCGTCTATTCATCTTTCCATGCCAGTGGAACTACAGACCTGACCACTGTATGTACGGTAGTAACTGCAAAGGGGCTGAAGAGGAAGGCGTGTCCATCCTCCATGGCAACCGTGGCGTATATCATGATGACAAGCAGCCAGCGTTTAAAGTAGTCTATGATGCAATCCATAATGTGAGTATCCCAGGAGGATCTGAAAGTCATGTGTGAATTATGCTTCTGAGGGAAATCTTAAATTACATTTATCCCTACGCCACAACCTCTTACGTAACGTTATCAGTTCAGTTTTATTTACATAGTGCCAAATCGCAACAGCAGTTGCCTCAAGGTGCTTTATATTGTACAGTAAACACCCTACAGTAATACAAAGAAAACCAGAAAAATAAAAAACAATAATCAACAACAACAACAATGACCCCCTGTGAGCAAGAGCTTTAGCAACAGTGGGAAGAAAAAACTCCCTTTTAACAGGAAGACACCTCCAGCAGAATTTGGCTAAGGAAGGAGCGGCCATCTGCCGCGCCCGGTTGGTGTGAGGGGAGGAAGATGGAATAAAGACACACTGTGGAAGACAGCCAGAGATGATTAATAACTAATAAATAACTGATAACTAATAAGAAAAATTTTTAGCAGTCTTGTAGGACTGGGACATGTTGGTGTTTTGAAGGAACCTGACGTGCACCTCCTGAGAAATGCAGCTACACATCAGGTTGCAGCATACCACAATGGTTTGAATAGCATGGAAGGTTGTGGTGTGGGGATTAAAAGGAGTTTCCAGTTCCTACATTAGTTAGGATGTTGATTTCACACATATAAATCAAGCTTTACTGACTCAGTATGGCAGTGATGCACAGTGCCCTACTACTGGACATAGTGAATCGCAGGGCTAACACATAGACACAGACAACCATTCGCACTCACATTTACACCTTTGGGCAATTTACACTTTCCAATTAACCTATCGCCACTAACTACATGTCTTTGGACTGTGGGAGGAAGCCAGAGTACCAGGAAAGAACCCATGCAAACTCCACCCCGGCCTGATGGTGGAATTGGACTCAGGACCTTCTTGCTGTGAGGCAACGGTGCTAACCACATGATCCGTCAATATGTGCAGGCAATCAGCTGACCTCATTTTTGGGGCACATAATGTTGCTGAATCTGATCTGAAGCAATGACAGGTCATAGCACTTCCACCACAGGCTCATGTGGTAGTTGTTGGAAAATACCTCAAATTCATTGGAGCAAAACACACATTCAGGTAGATGCACTTGCTCAGTACAAATTTCCATTGTGCTGCAATAAGGCCTGAAAGCTGTAGCATAGCTTGGCGTCATGATTGGAGGAATACTTGCTTAGCTCTGATAAAGCTGCTAAAATACAGAGTGGAAGTCATGCAAATGAAAATGTGTCCAAACAAGCTGCTAAAGGAGCAATTCTACATATAAGTGTGTGTAGACCTGTTTCTGTAGCAGCATTGTTTAGCTCAGAAAAAAAGAACAGCTATGACTATTTATTTTGTGATTTCAAATTCTCTCCCCTTGCACTCATGAAACAATCTGGGTCAGTTTAAAATTAGAATTTGTTTTCTCCGGCAGCAGAGTCGGTTCCCCCCCTGCTCTGCTGAGATAAGCCTCTTAAAGACGAGCAGGGTCATAATTTATGATTAATACCGAGGCCCGCCCCACCCCTGCCAACCGAATGTGTAAATATCATTTAGCCTATGATATGTTCTAGATCAAACAAAAAAAAAACGCGCAAACGCACAAAACTTTGGGTTTGGAACTGACATGGGCCGATGTCTCCGTCTCTGCAGTTTCCCTTTGAGGACAACATGTTCCAGTCGCTCTTCTACCCCATCCAGACCAAGTTCCTGGAGACGGTCAACACGCTCTGTGGTCGGATTCCCCAAGTCTTCCTCAAGCAGATCGAAAAGACAATGAGGAAGGTGTTTGAGGACAAAGTGGTCCGCCACGTCAGGCCACATAAATAACTGATGGAGAAAGTGGGTGTCCCCGTGGATTCTCAGATGAAACTGGTGGCTCTGCATTTGCAGTGTTCAGCGCATGACACTTTCTGGAATAAGGGTCTCATGAACATGATGAGATGGTGATCAGTAATCACCCTATGCATACAGTGCTGGTCAGTGACGTCGCCGAATAGGTTTGCCTTATAACCGTCTTTATTTTGACGTCACAAGTGATGTAACGTATAAGAATGTTGGAAAACTAGAAAGTATCAGCTCATCTCAAGTGTGTAAGACAAATTTAAGCCGTGTTTTTGTCAAGATTTGTACAAAGGTGTCTTGTCTTTTTTTACTTTTCCTCTCAAGCATTTGAAGTTCTCCTCCTAACCATTAGGGAGATGTGTATGTGCTACACAGAGTCAACTTTGGACAGCGTTACTACCTTGAAGTAGTAGATTTATAAACCACTCCTCTAAAATTGTGAATGTTTTATCAGCAAATAACTTGAAGTGTGAATCTGTGTAAATGAGTTTGTGGTCTGTTTTGCAGTTGCCAAATGCCGCTGACAGTATTACACACAGCACAGCAGAAGAAATGTAGACTTTTGTGTTAAATACTGAATGTCACAATGCACTTTGACATTAGGACTGGAAGGTTGTTGTTGTTGCACATATGTCTCCATTAGATACAACACGACTCGACTGAAATCAAAACCAAAAGTGCTAGATTTTGGAAAAAAAGGAAGAAAAAAAAAAGGTGTCAAACCACAGCAGATCATGTACCGTATGAATATTCATGTCTGACGTTTTCTTTCCTGGCAGAAGAAAATAAGTGCTGTAGATTTGTGTGTTTGAGAGAGTCTCCGAGCCTGTAATCTGATGTGTGGTGTACGTACCATGTGATCAATGATGAACGCATGGGCTGTATATTTTAAAGTTGCTTTTAAAGGGGTATAAAGCGCCAAATGTATCAAATCATTCAACCTGGAAACTGAATAGCTGTACACTCAGCGTGTGTTTCTTAATAAAACAATGCAATGTCCTGAGTTTACCTTAGCCTCATTTATGCTCATATAGTCTTGGTGAAAAGAACGTACCGCATCTGTCAGTTCTGAGGTTTTTACACATCACAACATCATAAAAGAAAAAAAAAGTATCTAATTCTGAGCAGGTCTTAAAGTAAGGACAGGAACATGTGACATATCACTGTGTTGTTTATTTAACAAAAATGAAGCCAAAAGGCAGAAGCCGTGTGTGAAAAAATTGAGTAGCAGTAATAACTTCCTGTGCGACTCCGACATCGTTGTGGAGGACTTATGGCCCAGTTTTCATTACAGTGTTGCTTCAGTTCAGAGGTTTGCACACTTCTGTTAATTTCAGTACGTTTCAGGTCTGAACTTTGACTTGGCATTTAAAACACCTTGATTCTTTTCTCTTTCAGCCATTCTCTGATCCTGTTCCAGGATCCAGTTTAGGCTAAGCTTCAGTTGTTGGAGATGGTCTTGACTCTGTAATACTTTGGTATGCAGAGGAGTTAACAGTCTGCTCAATGACTGGGACTTCAAAACAACCCCAAATCATCACCCCTCCAACACCATGCTTGAGAGCTGGTATTAGGTGCTTTGTTTGGTGTTTGCTGTACCTTGTGGTCAAAAATCTCCACTTTGGTCTCATCTGTCTAAGAGACAGTGTTCCAGAAGTCTTATAGTTTGTTCAGATACAATCTTCCAAACATCAGCTGTGCTGCCTTGTTTTTCTTTGCAGAACAATTAGAAAAAAACTAAACAAGTGTCTTTTTCTAATTGTACTGCAATGAGCTTTAGTATTTAACATGCTAACTGAGGCCTGTAGAGATACAGCTTGGTTTTTTTTAACTTCCTCCAAGCATTGCACATTCTGTTTTGGGGTGAATTTGGGATGTGCACTCAGTGGAAGACTGGTAGCTGTAATGAATGTTTTCCACTGGTAAATAATCTTTCTTACAATTATTTGTAAATGGTGCTCTCCATCAGTCTTGGAAGGGACCAATTGCTACTATAAGAACATTGCTGATCTCAGACCAGCAAACTGCCAAAACTTATATATAGGTTGCTGATGATCAATGATCAAATGCATTTCATTAGCAGCACCTGGCCACTAGAAAGCAGTAAGGGTGTCCTTAGTTTTTATACAGTGCGTCTACATTTTGGCCTTATTTTTGTTAATAACACGGTATAATAATATGTCATGTGTTGTTGTTCATCTCATTTTAAGACCTATTAAAGACCAGATAGTTTTAATTATGTCCTAATACAAATGTTTGTTGTTGCTTTTTTGTGTGTGTTTGTTTGTTTTCACCATGACTGCATAATAATCAATTGTGTTTTAATATGTTTGAAACAATAAACGGGGATGAATTATATTCTTTAAATGGTGACAGAGAGAGTACAGACGATGGTTACTGAAGATTTGTTTCAACAAGATCAGTAAGTATCTGATGTCAGTATATTTTGATCCAAATATGATAATACAGCCCAATCTTAGCGATTTGAAAGTGAAGCTAACACTCACCTAACTCTATCGTGTGTGTCAAACTCAAGGCCCGGAGACCTTTTAACCCACTTATCAGGGCTCCAGAAACCTGAAAAAAGTAGATTGTGGTTTGTTGCTTATCATGTGCCTTTTTTCACACTTGAAGGCTATATTGCATATGTAAACAAGCGTCTACACGATGAAATATCTTTTTTCTTTTCCCTTTTAAATGGCAGTTTCTCTTAAGATTTGAGATGCCATGTCTGGGCCCTTAACAAATATGTAAAGAAATAAAGATTGATTGTTTTGTTTTTACATGAGGATATATTTCTTTACCTCCCATACTTTGTAAATGGTAACTGGTATTCTTGAATAAATCATATAATGGTAAGCAATATGTTGAAAATTATTTACAGAGGCCATTGCGTGCATAGACCAATTGGATATAAGAAGAATATATGAGACAATAAACAATATTATCAAGGATTTCTTAAATTATGGACATTTTCTCAGTCAGAGTATTGTTTCAAACCTTCCAGTGACTTATGAATCAGTAATCATCCAAGACCTCCCAGAATATGCAAAACATATTGCTGGAATATATTGTCATTGGCAGGGATGGTGTTAATTAAAGAATGTCAGCTGTCAAACTCACATATACACATCTGGTCCTTTATGTGTTCACAGCTTCACAGTGGGTAAACCTAAATTTGACACCCCTCCTAAATTTAGTCTAAATTTAACTTAAGATACAAAATCTATATTTAGAATCGACATTTTAAATTGTCAGGTATCATAACTAATGATTCAGAAAAATATCTTTGTAAATATTCTCTGTATGCAAATGGTGATGAGTGCCTCTCAGTCCCAGATTGTATCTGTGCATAGCATCTTAATGTATCGATATTTCACATGCAGCATCTTTTTATGTTCAGTGTACTTTTATAGAAATCATTCTGATTCACTTGTTATTAAAAAATTATACAGCTGATCTTGAATTTCCCACGTCTATATGTGTATATCATAATGTTACATAACGCAAATAGATTGGCATTCAGCCAACCATGCATTTTTTCACGTTTAAAAAGAAATGCACATGCATTGTATTGGATAGCATAAATCCAAAACTTGTGCTGATAAAGACATTTAATTACAAGTTTGGTTCACATTTTTCTGATATACTTTTTTATGTTTAAGATGAATTTGTTTTGGTATAAATTCTGTTTAAAGTCTATATTGTGTTAAAAGAATGTCGCCCCTTAAAACATTGTCTCATTTTCTCCGTCTGTTTGTGTAAATCCACCTCCATTCATAAGTGGAGCGCTTGTCTCCCCCCGTGTGTTTCAGCGAACAGGCAGTGACCTCACGGCGCCATATTAAAATGCTTCCTCCTCTTTGCTTGTCTGTGAGGTTGTAGCTTAGCAGCCGCAGCTAGCCGCCAGTCTGCTTTTTTTTTTTACATCTACAAGACTGACAGAGGGCAACGACGTGATGGAAATTGATTCGCTTCAAGAAGCTCTCAGAGGTTATACTCAGTTTATTCCTCTTGTTCTTTCATCGGCCGAGACCACACGATATTTGTGTCCGGCCCAGATTACTCTTTTGTAACAAATGATCGGATTGTATCTCTCACGCTAATGGCGCTAGCTAGCTGATACTCGAGGCTAGCGTTAGCTAAGGCTAGCATTATAAGCGGTTTCACGGAAATGGTTTAGTCATGAAAGAACGACGAGAAAATACAACTTATTCCTTTGGATTTACTGTAAAGTTCTTATGTATTTGCCCTCAGTAACTGATAATATTCTCACAGATATGTATTAAGTATATGACGACTGTCACCGGCTTTTTGTACAGTTATTTGCCGGCTATGGTCTTCTGGCTAACTTAACATGCTAAACTTAGGCTAGCCAGCGAATTAGCAACACTGGTTATGTAAATAGATAACTTTAACGAGATAGGGTGACTCCTCAGGGATCTGGTACCAGCTTTTTACGTGTCGGCTAGAGTAGATTATAACTGAAAGTAAACAAAATATCCAGGTTTATTGGCAGAGTTATCAAAACTGTTGGGAAAGCTGAGGTAAATCAAAGCCTGTGCACCTCCACTAGTTAAATGGTCATGTTAAGCCACTCAGGGTTTTTTTATTTTATTTTTCATCTTAACAGATTTCGACAAGAAAGGAAAGAAGGAGCCATCTCCTCTACTGGAACAGTTTCTATGCCATATCGCCAAAACTGGCGATACCATGTAGGTGAAAACTACAGACCTATTTATTTTATCCCTTTGCTCTCTCTCTTACTCACACACACACAAACACACACACACACACTCTCTCTCTCTCTCTCTCTCTCTCTCTCTCTCTCTCTCTCTCTCTCTCTCTCTCTCTCTCTCTCTCACGCACACACACACAAATACAAGTGTTATCATTTTAAATAGGCCCTGTATGATGACATTTTATAGACTTTTTGGACTTGAGATAAAAGCCTAAAGTATGTGTGGCTCAAAGCTTTCGTGACTATAAGTAATTTCAATTTGCTGTTATATTAGTTAACATGTGTTTTTATAATGGGATCATTTAAAATCATAAGGGTTTCTTACTGCAGTATCCTGTAGTAAGTACTGTTGAAATCTAAGTGAGTTATTCTTACATAAGGCATAAGATTACAGAAAATGGGCCAAATAAACACGTGGGGTTGGGTGATTAAAAAGGAAATGGTAAACAGAACAATTATTAAAATATTGTAATGAGAAAAGTTTAAGGTACTAACAAAGACCTATGATGGGAATTCACCTGTATTTTGGGGATAGGAAGTGAGTTTGTTTGTGGTGGGTCAGCATTGACCTGCTACCAGAAATTCCACAATTCCACATGCTGGTGCAGACAGCAGCCCCTCAAGCCAGCAGGAGGAAACGGTGGCAAATGACAAGAGGTGTACACAAAATGACCACTAGCTTTCTTTTTGTAAGTGTTGTGAGAGCTTTTTCAAACGGAGGTGTCAGATGTCCATGGCCCTCTGCAGGGATTTGAAGCAGCTAGTCAGTGTGTGTGGTTGTAGTTTTGGTGTCAAGCTAAAGATGTTTTGGAGTATCTAACTTTCATACATTTATGGTTAGTACAAACTGATTTGACACAACAGATAAACATCAACCACAGTGTTTGCCTAATGCCTTTTTTTTTTTTTTTTTTTTTTGCAGCTAGACCTAACCTTGGAAAAATTGTACTACACACATAAACACATATCCAGTCTAGGGGTGACATGTTTTTAAGGCCATGATAAAATTACTCTTTTCACAGAGTAATCAATAATAATAATCAATAAAGTTTTTGGTTTTTTTTTAACATTTTTAAAAATTGTTTATTTGACCCTTTTTTAATATTGCATTTGATTTCCAAAATGATTTGTCGTATCTGACATTACCTGGTCTTATTAGATAATCGCAAAAATACAAAAGTGTGGGGTAGATTTCAGACTGTAAAAATACAGTGGAAGGGTCCATTTCTTTCATATAGCATAGATCTGTTAACTTTAACAAC